AAAAGTACTATTTTTTATAGACGAAGAAAAGTAAACAATTTTAGGCAAGCAGACAACAATTATTTTTGATCAAATTATCAACATTTACATTTTATCAAAGTAAATTTAAGTCTTAACCGCGAATGAAAATTGTTTCAATTTAATAATTTTCTAATAATGACATAATTTGCTTGTCAGTGGCTCCCATCTGTTCTTATAAGAAAGTTGCATATCAGTGTATTTCAAAAACATACAGAGTATAAAAGCATTCTATTAGAGATGTCCTTGTTTTGATAAGCACAGTAATGTGCAATTACTGGAAGATAAATGTGAAAAAGAAAACATTTTTATAAAATGCTTTAATTCTTAGTCTAAATAATGTCTGGCTTATGGCTTCAAGTTTTTAGAAAATTATTATACACGAATTTTTTCAATTCGCCTAAGTTTTGCATTCCATAGGCAATTTAATTTTCATAAATTGAGGAAAACAGCTGAACTCTCGAGTCGCCTGTATAAAAATATAGCTTCCGACTATAATTTTTTTTAACATGAATTGGACAGTTTAATTAATTTTCCTCTAAACATGAAATTCCATTTGAATAAGGACATCTTCAGTACGTATTTGTGCTTTAAAAAAATATGACGTCTACTCTAACTACAACTCAAAGAGTTGTGCAATATATACTCAAATGTATTTGTGTCCTTATTTTTTTTTACTCTTATCTAACAAATTTCTCAAATAATTATACCTAACACCAAAATCTACACAAGTAACATTACCTTAAGCTAAAATGTAACTAAATTGCATAACAATGTGTATATTTAAATGTATGAACAATTAAATTTAATTAAATGTGATTTTTACGTAAACATAGGCAAACTGTTTAAGGCTATAAACCATATTTTTATTATTTTTTATTAATGAATAAACAAAGCTATTATCGTTTGTTGAAACACATTTTCATATATACATATAAAATATTTATACATACCTAACACGTTTTGCGTATTATAATAAAAATATACAAATATATAGCGAGTCATACATATGTCCGCTTTAAATTAATATTTGTACGCAAGTGTTTTTAACAGAAATAAATAAACAAATCTAAAAAAAAAGTTCATTACCCAGAATATTTTTCTCAAATTTAGAAACTATGAGGTAAAGCTCATCTAACTGTACTTACAGTTTGAAGCATTATTAGATCACCTATTAAGGGATCGTTTCAGTGTGAAATTTTTGGAAAAATCTGTTTTTATTATTGGATAGCATACACTGTAATAAACATTTTCTCAAATTTTGAAATCGAAATTCAAACTATAACGGTGCTTACAGCGCCGGGGATATCACTTCCTGAAACACGCTGACGTTATCTGACACCTCCTCAGTACAAATTGTAGACGGGTTTTTTTTATTATAGCTGGAATCAGTCTACGTTTATCATTTTCCCACGCAGCTCGTTCTCTTGAGTCACATTTGAATGTGTTATTTGAAGACAAATATGGAATATTTTTTCTTGCCGCAAATCTCCTTCGGAAAAAAAGGATTCAGTCATTCTTTATGGATTGAAACGAAAATTGACACACCGGAGTCGTCTAAAAAAAATTGAGTTTGAGAATGTATTCGACTTATTCTTCAACACAGCACACTCTCTTACGAAGTGTTCTTATAATAATAAAAACAAAGTTGTTAATTTAGACATTCTTGTGCTTTACCTTTTGAAATTGCTTTAACCGTAATATTGGGTGAGTGCATTGCAGTTAAGTGCTCCATAAATATTTACTTTGCTTACATCCTTTTAACACGTTCTCTTTTACGTCGATTAAACGCTTATTAAGATAAGGCGAAAGTCATAAATGTCAACCACCGGGCCATACCTCTTTGTCCTGATTCAAAAATAGTTCTGGTACGTGTGCGTAAGTGTCTCCTACTGCATTGTATGTAAACAAGTAAACACAAACGGACGGAGTAATTATGATACGCATCAGTTACCGAGCGCTACCTTTTCGGAGTTCGAAATTTATGTAAGTACGGGTGTTTACCTGTAAAAGTAGAACGATAGCAACAACAAATGTTTGCATCATCCTTCTGTATGTTTGTCCGTCGGAGTATCCTTGTCGCTCTTGATCCTTATTATTTCGAAAGTGTCAATAAATTCACGTAAATGTGACAATTAGGTGCCATAACGAGTTTATCTCAACAATGACAATGGGCGACAGTTATGTACTTATTGATTGGGAAGAGACACCTAACGGATGTGATATACATAAGTTGTTGTTCTTGCTACCATAACTGGCTTAGTTTTGATTTTGGAGTGCGCTAAAATATTCATATTACTATAAAAAGGACAAACTGTTGTGTTGTTGGGAGTTTGATAAGTGACTTTTAGTTGAAGGTTATCGAAGTAATTGTATAAAATAGAAGAACAATTCTTGGAAAGTGTGCTCACCGTTAATGAGTGTCTTAATTTGAGTAATTCTCTATATAATTGAAATAGTAAAACGGTTATTTACTACCACTTAATTTTCAGCCACAATTAGAAAACTCGATTTTAAAGGATATTCTGCCAAATAAAGATCATTCAGTTCGTATGGCAGCTATATCCTATAGTAGTCCGATGTTACAATTATTTAAAAAGAATTACAATTCTGCGTCGATGCAGCGCGACTTCCAAGCATTGAAGGCGTCACGAAAGCCATACTGTTGTCTCAAAATGCTTGGCTTTCATCGGCCTTTTCAGGAAGATTACCCCTTTGTCTAGGGATCATACTCTCAGGTCTCCCAGCACGGTCTTCATCAGCAACCTCTTCCCGGCCTTCCAAAAATGCCTGATACAATCGCAACACATCACTTCTCGCTAAAGCAACATCGGGGTAAGTCTGCTTGAAGCGCATTAAACGTCACTGTCGTAAATTTACCGAGTTTTACACAAGATTTAATCGCCACTGCTTTACGAACTTTGCATTTTCGGCTTGCACCACTCACAGAAACACGTCGCTGGAACTCGGAGACAACTGATCAGTCGCTCGTTCATTAGGAACGCCCTCTAAAGAATCCAGTCGGTGCGTGCACGTTCCGAAGTGCAGTAGCTGCGGAAGAAAAGTCCTATTACTTTAAGGACAAATCTGGTACAGACGGCCAAGGTTAAATCGATTTTTTAGGCCTTGCCACGTTTCCTTCTGCGCGTTACAAATTTCACGGTCAACTTAATATACCCTGTTCATCTACAGAATCATTTCAAGATCCACCGTAACCGTAAATCAATAATTAGAAATAAATTACTGAAAGTTCATGATGGTAAATTTGGCAGGTTTTTCATGTGCTTACGGTCTAACCAAACTTGGAATTACAACTAAGTTTAAAATATTTTTTCTTACAGCGATCGGTAGGCAAACAACCAAATGTATGTGTACACACACTACCCCGCCGATCACTTCAAACCAATTGCAGCGTCTTTTCAATTTGAATAGAAATAAGTAGACCAGAACTAAAATTAACAAATGATGCCATGTTTCACACGGTTTTATATGACAATAGAATATGCCATTGTAGGTGTACGCAGGTCTAAAAAAAAAAACAAGAAACTAAACTCGCCTTTGATCCTTGATCGATTGTAGATGTCAAAAATGCCACGCGACCGCAAGTCCTTTGCAAGGCAACTGACTGCCGATTGATTCAATTAAATAATCGTGTCTGTGTATGTGTGGCTATTGTGCAACACTTGTGCGAAAAATTCCCTTGAAATTTCGGCTACAAAAGTGCGATTGAGGTTGAAAATATGTGAACTTGTGTGTAGGTGTGAGCGACTGTCAGTTGAGTGGCTTACATCAAAGACTTGCCTGCAGCTAATTATAGGGTTTACCCAAGATCGCCGACACACCTACGCCTCTCAATTTCCAAAGCCGCACACTTGTAAGTGTGTGTGTGAGCTTGCGTTCTGGTTGTTAGTGTTGTGAAGAAAGTGCTTGTTGCTTTTTATTTTTGCGCATGCGTGTTACACAGCTGATTATGTGAAAAATCTTCCATGTCACAATAGCAACAATGGTCAGACAATCAGACTGGTTGGTTAGCGAAGTGATGTTGGCATGACCAAATGTGCCTTTGCTTCCTTGAGGGCGGGAGTTGAGTGCAAAGAAATCCGTGTGTTCTACAAAAGGAACTTCAATTGTTTAGGAATTTCTTGATTATAATCCGCTGTTGGCTGAGTGCAATTTACTTTTGTTTGGCGTTGAATTATCCAATGCAAAATCATGTAAGCCCTTTTGTTTAAACAATAGATTGACTTAGTTTTTGACACTCATTGTTTTATTTCTCCGCACTTGTTGTGGCTAATATTTTTCACAGAATTGCTTACTCGATTTCGGTTTTGAGTTTAGCCCTTTTATGCTCAGCAAGGGATTAGCAATTAGTAAGTGTATGGGAATTGCTGTTAAGCTAATTTGCCATGTAATACTACGCCATTATTTGCAATTATTTATGAAAACATGCGACTTTTGTTTGGGTCCCGGAAATTCGCAACAACAGGTGTAGTATTCTTCTGCATGCAGACTTCGTCGACATTCTGTCTAGGATTTCGCAAATTTGCGCAATTTTATATTAGGGCTGAGAAGTGTATTTACATATGTATATGTAAGTATAGGAAGAAAATTTTCCAGGAAAAAAATTGGCATCTGAAGACTTTGACATATCGGCAGAATGAAATAATCGAATATTTTAAAGGGTGTTTGGCCGAGCATCTCCTCCGATATTACAGTTATCTGCTTTAAGTGGATCTGGGTTAGGTTATGTTAATCTGGTAGGTCAATAGGCCACGCATAGACCAGTTTAGTCCTTTGAGTTTAGTTGCTAGGTACAAGAGGACTAGTCATCCTTTAGTAGTTAGTCTATATGGCTATTGAATTATAAAGCATAKTAAAACGAAATATATTACTTTTCTAATCTTTGTATAAGTGCAAATCGCAAAGGTTGAGCACAGCCAAAGAAAACAAATGCGCCAAATTTTACAAGCTTTCTTTGATAAAGGCGAAAGCGGAACGCCAGGCCGCTGAAACTGTATTTAGTATTTGTGGCTCTGAAACTGCAACAACCGATCAATAAGGACTATTTCGATTGTCTCGAGGCTGGAAGCAAAAAGAAGCCCGATACACCATAGCCACACAAGTTAACAAAAAAAAAAAAAAAAATTATCCATTTCTGAAGCGGATGGTTACATATCATAAAAAATGAGTCACTTACCGACACAACAAGCGAAAAAGGTCGTGATCGTGAACAGCGGTGAAGCAGCGCAAACCAAGCCAGGATTGACAGTCGGCAAGATTTTACTATATGTTTCGGGGATTGGTTGGGAAGCTAAATAAAATGGGGTTTGTACCCAATGGCTTTACTAAGTCGGAAGCCATGAAAGCACATTTTGATATGACCATGAAGACTTACCCAGATGTTGCTATAGCAAGCAATGGTGAAAGGCATCGTCCACCATGAATTTGTTTCTCCTGGACAAACCGTAAAGTTTTACGTAGAACTTCTCAAGAGACTCAAACGAAGGGTTAATCGGGTCCGACAAGACATCGCAGCCGATTGGAAGTTGCACCACGACAACGCCTCAGCTTACACCGCCTTTCTTGTAAACAGCTACCTAACCAAAGCCGCCATCCCAACGCTTCCGCAGCCGCAGTACAGCCCAGATGTGCCCGGAGTTTTTTTTTTGGTTTCCTTGCTCAATAAGGCCGGTGAAAGGCAAGCATTTGGAGACGAAATAGTGGATCCGAGCAGCCTGCACCTCGGCTCTGAAGGCTATTCCCGAGAATGTCCTCCGTTACACCTGCACTGCTTGGAAATTGCGCTGGCAGCGTTGCATCAACGCAGAAGGAACCAATTTTTAAAGTTTTTAAAGAATTGTAACAATAGTTCAATACATTTTTTTAAATCGACTCAGTCCTATTACTTTCCGGAGAATTACTGTACTCTTGTTTCTATGTACAGCAATATTACAATGGGGAGGATGTGATTTTGACAGTTTGTATCAAAAATTTTCAGTGTGTTCAGTATGCTTTGCCATTTCGTCATGCCACGTTTTACATTGCAACAACGCTTGGAAATTGTGCAATATTGTTTTTTGCGATGAAGCCCATTTTTGGCTAAGTGACTTAGTCAGTAAACAAAATTGTCCCTATTAGTGTGACTCAAATCATTGTTTGGTTCAGGAAACGCGATTGCATCTCCAAAAATTTGGAAATGCCGTTAACATCAATAGCGAGCATTATAACACGATTTTGATTGACAATCTCTATTTCCAACAATATGGTGTGCCGCCTTATGTTTCAAATTTAAACATGGACAGATTGCGTTGGCGACTCGTTAATTTTGAAAAAAGGCCCAACCAAATGGCTGCCGATTTAAGGCCTCTATATTACTTTCTCGGAGGTATGTTAAATCAAAGGCTTACGCAAATCAAACACAAACGCTCTAGAAGCTCGAAGACATTCACGTACTATAGCCGAAATCCTGCTTCGTGTCATCGAAAATTTTGTGTAAACGGATTGAGATATGTAAACGGAGCCGTGGTGGTCATTTGGCTGAAATTTTCTTCAAATCATAAGTGGCATACATTTTATGCAAATTTCAGTGTTTTATTTCACGTCAATTTTGTTGGTGGATTATTTTTATAGGCTTCGCATGCGCTTTTCCTTCCCCCTGCAGGATTGACCCGTGACCTTGTGTGTGCCTCTTATGTATGTATAATATAAGTATATATATATATATATATATATAATATCCTGAGTAAACGTAAACCATTGATAATGTATTGTATATACAAAGCAAATGTTTGACATTTAAAATGCTTCACATAATACGATTTTGACACTATAATTTGCAAATACAAAAGCCACAAAAATTCAAAAGAAATTGAAAGTTTGAGGTCCTATTCGAAATTCACACATACTCTTGTATACACAGCCAAATAAGTATATATAAATATACTATACATATGTACTCTCGGCGGCCGCAAATTAGCTACTGTCCCAGAAATCGACATGACCGACAAAATTGCGAAGCGGTAGCACTTAAAGGCCTATCACAATTTGTAAGCAACATATCTGGTATTACAAAGGAGTCAGCAACAATGGATTTGCGTAAACCCCATTACAACAATAATAGCATAGGTGTACAAAAAAATTTCTTTGGTTACAATGAAATAATTAAACGTTTTGACCGCAAGCCAATTTGGGCCACTGTCTGCAACAACAATTGTATTAACCAAGAATGAGAGCAGCAGAAACCGTCGTTGAGGAGTTCGGCAATTGCGCACGAAAAAAGCAAAAGATCAAGAAGCGAGCGCATCAACGAATCAAAAGTAGGCATGCGTAGCAGCGTTGCGTGATCAGATGAGTGCAGGTATGCGAGGAGAATTTGAGTATCAGCCAATCGGAATGTTACTGTTTCGTGCATCCTTACGTTTGCGGTATCCTCAAGGCTAGCTTATATAAAGTGCAGGCACAACCACCGAGCATCACACAGTTCTAATCTGACACTGAAGTGCAGCACTAATAAACGAAATTCAATAAAATGCTAGCTGGTGAATATTGTGAGAGCGATCTTTCGTTTTACTCCTCGATGCGACGCTTGCAATCGAATGAATCGGTGGAAAGTGATAGTTATTCGAAAATGCTTAGTGATAATTTGGAAGAATTTACGGCTTTGTACAGTATGGATGTTAGCAGCAGCAACAGTCCATCAACGTCTTCGTCGTCGTTAGAAAGCCAACCGCAACTTATAGGCTTACAAGCAGATGAAAATTTTGTGGATAACTTTGATTTTGGCTATGCAGTTGAAAGTACAAGACAAGTCACCTGCATTAGCGCAAATCCTAAACGGTGGTCTTCACTGTGTGAACAACAATTTTACACCAGCGATTCCAGTAAGACTTCAACTGTCGAAAGCTCAAAAAATATTAAAGCTCATTATAGATCGACGTATAGAATTGGTTCACTGAAGTCTGCGTCATCATCTCAGCATCATTTCAAGACAAACTCCAGCTTTTCAACGAGTTCTAGCGACTGCGGTCCACAGGATGTCATCAAGAAACGACGACTTGCCGCCAATGCGCGTGAACGTCGACGCATGAATAGCTTGAACGACGCTTTCGATAAGCTCCGAGACGTTGTACCATCGCTGGGAAATGATCGTCGACTCTCGAAATACGAAACATTGCAAATGGCTCAAGCCTATATTGGTGATTTGGTTAAGTTGCTGACGCGCGATTATTAAAGTTAGTTTATTAAGATAAATTATTTTAGCTGCTATCATTTAAATTAAATTATATTTTGAATTAGTTAGTATGTTATTTGTTTTTGTATTGGCTCTTAAAATAGACTTTTACATAAAATCATCATTCAAAGTAAATTATTGGATGACATTTTTGTTTAGAGTTTGCTTGAAATATTGGATTTGCACTGCAATTCTTTTTATGTAATAAGTAAATATTTTTAATTAAGAAACATAACCCAGTGAATATCTTTTGATTCTAAAACTGTCTAATGTCTCTGCAAATCAAAAAAGTGAGGGAAACTGAAGCTGAACGAAACTGAACGATATGAGCTTTGTCTAATAAAAGAATGCAACATCAGAAGAAATGGTTCAGATCATTATAGCGTACATCAAATATTTAAACAAAATGATGGGAATCAAGTTTTTGTAAAAAATCTTTTATATTTGTAAAGGATAATACCACGTTTAACTGCCTGCTTTTCTTGTATAGAGCCAGCGTGCAGCCAGCTACCGTGAAGGCACCTTTTGACTTTCATCTCACATCACTTCGTGGCGTGAGCATCACTCAAGCACTGGTCAAGCACTTTGCCTGCTTTTCTTATATAGAGCCAGCGTGCAGCCAGCTTCCCTCGGTGGCTGGGCCCGATGGCCCCAAAAATATATACTTTAAATTAAGCTGCAATCTCCAAAAGGACGTGTACAAAATTCCGGACCGATATCTCACAAAGTGAGAGACTAGTTCGCGTATATACATATAGGCGGAGAGCATAATTCTATATAATTGAATTAATGGATTGGATTTTCAATAAGAGCGCTACGAAAGTTTTTTTTAAATAAAGCAAAAACAATGAAGTTTTTTATTGCTGTGAAAGTACATTCTATGCCATTATGTAAGGAACTCGACTTCTTTTTTCATCCATATATCGGCCGATATTGTGTATCATTGGTGGATCGTACATATTTCAACGATGAAATGGTAAACCTTACTGAAGAGAAATGTCAAAGGATCGTGAAAATGTGCCGTCGTTTGCTGTCCCTATCGGTCTTCTTTTGTAGACCCGTATTGAAAACCGTTTATATTTATATATACATATATTATATAATATATACTGATCTTTCAAATAACTTAGCTGACTGAAAAATTCCATAAGCGATGACATTACAATTTTTTCCTAAATAAATACATATGCACTTAAAAAAATAACTCACCAGTGATCTTGCCGTGCACGAATATGCGCTCTAGTTGGACTAATTTTCAAGGTAAAAAATCAAAAATCCTTAGTATGCATGTACATACTATATGTATATGTGTGTATCAAAAAGATACATATTTAGCAATTGTCTGCTTTAAATGACGATTGAGTGCGGGGCGTAAACGTTGTGGCAGAAATCAAAATAGCATCCATATTCCTGTAATCTTAGGGCAGCCTACGGAAAATATCTAAGACGGAAAGAAATAAAAACACGAAAAGATGGATAAGTAGCAAGTTCCGACTTCCGATGCGCATAATGTAACAAATTAGTAAGTACAGAGTGCGGCACAGCAGAAAGGGATCTTACCTTCAGCTTTGTTTTTTTCCGCAATCCTTGTTAGTTAAGTGACTATGCATTCATCCGCGCACATACCAAGATTTTTAGTTATATCGCAGTACGGACAATATACATACATACTCCTTTGGGATTTGCGTAGCACTTGTGGGCGTTCTTGAAGGACATGAAAATTGATTCAAAACCGCAGCTAACCTGTAATGATGATGTAGGCGGTTTTGTTGTCGTAGATAAATAGAGCGAAGCAAATGTGTAACAAGGGGTGGTTGTACTCAATATATACATAAAAACATATGTATATTTATTAACATTAGTTAAAGGTAAAATAAGTACATGTCGTCATCAAAAATGCAAAACAACATAACATAAAAAAATTCACATTTGGCTTTTTTTGTTTTGTTTGATTGTGCTAACATACACATTGTATAACCATGTTACAGCAAAAATGCAAATATTTTTCAAATACGTAATTTTATTTTATATAGCTTTGTCCCTATTCTGCAAAAAATTAAAAGTGAATTTACGGTATTTTGCATTTTAGGTGACGATATCCAGTTGCATAGTTTTAGTATCACAATGTTTTCTATTTCCAAGTTAATTTTCATTATAGTTGTTCTTTGTACATTCGGTCATACAAAATAAAGCATATATACATACAACATATGTGAATAATACTTAAATAAAGCATACATTAGACTATTTTTTAATTTTTATTTTTCTTATAAATATTTAAATTGGTTTGTGCTTATTATAAGTTACAATCTAAAAATGTCTTGCATATATTCTTATATTTTTTAACACTATGTGTAAGTTGCTTTTCATTATTTACAAACAAATATATTTACATTAAATATTGTAACATGCTTTTTTTTTGATGAAAAATAGTTTTATATTATTGAAAACATTTTTACGATATTCGGTATAATTTTTTAAAAATTTTCAGCTTAAAAATTAAGATATATTTTCTTTTATGACTTCTTTAGATAACTGAGACTTTTCTAAAAGTCAGTAAAAAGTTATTACTTCACAGAAATAGTGCATGCTATTATTTTTATTAATTATTTTAAATGCATTTTACTTTTCTAAAAGTGAAAAGCTTAAAAAAAATTAA